TTAATTATTAGTTGCATATTATAGTTTGCATAAATAATTCGACACTGTTACTAAAACCTGTAAAGTGTCTATTTTAAAAGATCACTTACTTAAAGTGTCACATAAAATAACCAGACACATTTGATTGTTATACATAAACAGTCGCGTAAATCTTTGTATACGTATGTTGTACAAAATTCTTCTCTTCTTTTAAATAATTTTCGCAAACAACGTGTAAAGAAAGCTTTTTATGCATCATAGACATTACCCAGTTTTCAAAAAAAAAATTTTTTAATGTCGATTTATTTGCCTATTTTTTTTTTATGTAATGGTTGGAACAAAAATATACCATTACAATAATACTAAAAGAACTTTGTGCATGGAGACAATACCAAATAAAACAATATAAGGAAATTTATAAAGTGAAATTAATTAACTTTTTATTTATGTTGAAACATAATTTTCTGATTCAAAAAATGGGATCGAAATGTTACACAATTTACCACAATTTATTACTGCATTCATCAAGACAAAGCGTATACTAAATTTACCTAATTAATTTGTTTGGTTTACGAGATTTCATATGATAACAGTAAACATTGTGGTTGCAGCTGCACGTGACTTAATGTTTCGATATCACTTAAGTTGCTAAAAATGGTCAAGAAGCGTTTTATCGTTAGGAGAAATTTTTTTTGGGTTTCGGATAGCTGCGAGTGGTGCATCCTTCTCCAATCGGTTGTGATGATCATCAGAATTTGAATAATAACGCCCAATTTAATAACTTTTCTTCTATAATATCCCTTTGGTTTGTTGTACATGTACATTGCTTACATAATCTATTTTTTAAATAGGATTAACCTTAATATTTTTTAATCGTTGACATTTGATAAAAATTCCTTTCAATGTTTAAATTAAATCTGACGCAATTAATACGCCCAATCTTTAACTTTTGTAAAGACCATCATTAATGATGAATATATGCTAGTATTAAATTGTTGATTTTTGAGAATATTCTTGACCTTTTTGTCAATTTCATGTTTTGCAAGACTTTATATACTATGTTTGATTCGGCAGACAATCGAGCAATAATAATTAATGGATCACATCATGAATGAAATTCTTATCCTATAAATTTTGATTCAAGCAGTCAGCCGAATTTGGACATTTTGTATTCAGTAAGAAAGAAAATTTTCGTGTGAACGGGATCAGTGGGTATTTTCTACTAATCTGGAAATTGGCTAAAAAATCAAAGATAATACAAATATTTAATAACAATTTTATCATGTCATCATGTCATGCATGTACATACAGTACTTTCATACATTTTTTGATTTGAAAGATTCTGAAAATCAAAACACTGCTACTTTACACCTTCATTAATTAAGGTTTTTTTCATGCAAAAATGCAATTGCATGTTGTGGGGATCAACAGACAACAGATATTGGGGTAAAATAAAAATACTGATTCATAATTAATAAATTCTTTCTTTTTTAAAGTGTATATGAGATTATCTTGAATGAGGGTCTAACAAAATTTTTCAATCGTTGACTTTTTTTAATCATTAAGTTTATTTGAAATAAAAGTATAAGATAATTTAACATAAAACCATATCAAATTTTAATAATACAATTTAGAAACCAATTTGAATTCAAACGAATCATATATTCGAAGGTGAAATATTTTTATCGATAACGTAGATCTTAATGTTAGTTTAGGGTTAGGATTAGAGTCAGTTTAGTCAGTTTAAGGATATTAATCGAACGTCCATAATGTAGATTCATTCGATTTTCGAAGTCATTCATTAGTTAGTTTCTACAACTTATATTCATCATTTATTAACAGAATCTATGTGTCCGGACAAAACAGGTTAAACTCATTAATTAAATATCTTCAGCATAATCAATAATCAAAGAGAATAAATACTTACAGATCAATTAATCTATTATAAACAATTGGGATTTGTTTGATATCATCTATAAATTTGCTAAATGGTTTGTTTTGATTTAGATTTAAGATATCATTGATATAAAGATTTCTACAATCTTTAAATTCACTTTCGAATTTTTAACCGTTTTCGAACTAAATTAAAGACTTATATGTGACCATAGAAGGGATGTTTAAAAAAAGTAATTGAGACTGTTGTAGGTGTTGAGATTTCCTTCATAGGATATGAAGTTAAAGACTATATACGTGTTAAATTATGCGAATATTAGCTTTACACAAAATAAAATGAAATGAAAATCGGTTTTAAATACCTTTTGTTCTAAAGGTAAATAATTTAATACATCAATTTACAATCTTAATTGGCTTCGTGAGTATATTTATTCCTTGAAAAACAATATTGCAACTACTCATTTAATTTGATTAGTTTGACGACATTATTAAGTGATGAATAAGATTACGTTGATGAATAATGGGCTTTGGAAATCGTTAGGTTTGACGGAGAATTTTATAATTTACACGATACAAAAAAAAAGCTACTTCGAAATATTATAACAGTACTTGTCTTTCCTTTTTAATTTTCCCATTTCAAATTCAAACTTTTATTGTAAACATTCCATGATCAGCTTCAATTGTATTATAATTTTTGATTGTTATCCAACAGCATATGTCTTTTAATTGTAATAAATTACATTTTCATGTTTCGAATTATGGTAATTCATATTCCTCGCCTTTTGCATTCTTCACAGTTTCATATTTTCAAGTTGCTTTTTCATTTGTTTCTTTTCAAGCTGGTAATTTGTTCTTCCAGTATTACTTGATCATGTTACACGATTTAATTGGCCTTTATCGAGGGTCGATTGTCCAAATATAAGAAATAACGTGAATTTATGAACCAATAATCAAACTTTGTTGGAAAAAAACAAATAATAAACGGTTAAGACGTTCCGAAAATCTACTTCAGAACATTCTATCTCCGACGAAAATCTTTTCTATTTACATTCCATCAATATTGATAAAAAATATATAAAAAGTGTTTCATTTTATTCCTAAATAAAATAAAAAATTCATGGATCAATCACCCTCAAGTCAACAAACCGCGGCTGAGCCAAAATCAAAGTGTAGTCAATGTAATCGAAAAGAAATTTTTAACGAGGATAATCAAAGTTGTCAAATTTGTTATCAAGCAAATGTACTACATAAGCCAAGTGGAAACAAAGTTATCGATGAATTTATTAGGCATAAACAACATATTTCACGTAAAGACAGGAGACTAACATTTGCTCCTTATGAACAATTCAAGGATGTAACATATGTTGCCGAGGGGGGATTTAGTAAAATTTATAAAGCTACTTGGGTAGATGGCCCAATTTGTCATTGGAATGATAAAATACAACAATATGTTCGGAAACCTGAGTGGATAGTCGTTCTCAAGCAACTTGAAGATTCTAAAGATATTACTTTTAAGGAGCTAAACGAGGTATCTAAACATTCTTTCTAAATTTCATTTATTTTCGATCGGTAGCAGAATATTTTTTTTTTTTTTTTTTTTTTTTTTTTTTTTAGCTCGAGATATACTTTTTAATAAGTAACGACAATCCACAGTTCATTAATAATTATTATGGAATCACACGATACCCGATTACGGGAGATTTTATGATAATTATGAATTATTGTAAATTGGGAGATTTAGCGCAATATATGAAAGATTTTTATAATATGACCTGGTCAAACAAGTTGAAACAATTGTTTAAACTTATATGCGGACTTAGAAATATTCATAACGTAAATATCATCCACAAAGATTTTCATAGTGGAAACGTTTTGATAATGAATCATTTCAGTGCCTGCATAGGTGATTTAGGCATAAGTAAATCGGCAACCGAAACGTCGGATAACAATGAAATTTATGGCATCATTCCTTATATGGCTCCTGAAATTCTTCAAGGAAAACAATATACCACGGCTTCGGATATTTATAGCTTTGGTATGATTATGTGGGAGTTTATGGTGGGTAGAAGACCTTTTTGGGATCAACCTCATGATACAGATCTCATTATTAAAATCTGCGATGGATTTCGCCCTCAAATTTTCACGGATGCACCTAAAGGTTACATCGAATTAATGAAAAAATGTTGGAATTCTGACCCAGATAAAAGACCTACATCCACTGATGTCCGTTTTGAACTTCATTTGATAAGAAAAGTTGAATCAAAAAATCCCACTAATATTATAGAATCATCAGACATTGGACCTATAACAAATAATCCGGGTGCTATTTATAAAAGTAGACCTTTAAGTGATTTGATAAGTTCTGCGGAATCTACAAGGAGCCTAATTGACACTCATAATCCCTTAAATAGTAAGTTTTGTTTGAACAGTTTTTTTGAGATTATTATTACTTACAAATCTCTGTTATCTCTAATTTATTTAGAAAATAAAAGAAAGTTTGATGATAATTTTATCGAAGATAATAGTAATGGTTTCTATGCCTTATATATATATCTCTCTCTCGATCTTTCTACTATACTGAATATTTATTAATTAAATTTTTTTTTTTTTTTAAAGTTAAAATCGTTAAAAAAATTATTTATAAAAATAATGGTAAGTTTCCTCCTTTGTTTTGTAATTTTCTTATGATCCATTATTAATTTAATATACACAAAAAAAAAATTTATTAGATTATTCGACGAAAGAATTTGATATGGATATTGATTAATGTAGAAATGACAGCCATGCTAAATTTGATATTTGGTTTTAAATATGGTCATTTTATCATGGCCGAATAATCAAGCGTCACATGATATTTCCATAGCCAATTATATAATTTATCACGAATACATATTGTGCCTTTTCTTCCAAATACACTAACATCAGTCGTTTTTTATAGATGGTGACAATCATAAGATCAAATATCATAAGTTAAAAAGATTCAAACATCATCTCAAAGTAATTTATTGTTAGGAAGAATTTCAAAGACATTTGGAATTATACAAGATAAATAATCTAGACCATTTATGAATACAATAATTATTAAATTATTAAATATCCATATTACATGAATAATAAGCGAACAAATCTTAATCTAAATTGTCATTCGGGGATGATTTTGGTATCTTGGAGGTTTCAAGATCACCATCCTTTTGTTTTTTAGTTTTCCGAAGGATCATGGATATGTCGATTTCATCATCATCATTCTCCGATGCTTTTCTCTTTTTATTTTCAATATTTAATTTTGGAATCGATAGAGAAGGTCGATTAATATTATTAACCGAAGATATAGTTATGATCGAAGTTGATGAGGTCTCATCAGTCTTGATCTCGCTATTTCCATTCTCTTCCGTACTCTTTTCGTTTCTCTCGGCGGGGGGATTAATTGGAGGAGCTCCTTCATCATGGTCGACAACCTTTCCATTTTCACGACCGTTTGAATGATTACTGATTAGGGAAATCGACTTTTGTTTGCTTATTTGCCATAAGAACTCTAACTTTTCCCATTCTTTCATATCTTCAACATCTTCCTCCCCTTCATCTGTAAAATCATCTTCCCAACCCCCATTTACCAAATCATCAAGATCATCTTCATCTTCATCATCTGGTCGTAAAGGTTGTGATTTGTGTACCTTTTCATCATTGATAACTTGTGATGAAATTAAATTTGAAGTGATTGCAGCTTGAAATTGGTTAGTCGACATTATCGGTTAATTCAAGTATAAGTTTAAGTGTTCTACAAATGATGAGAAAAAAAAAAAAAAAAATGAAACGCAATTTAACAACTTTTTTTTTTTTAACAAAAATTTGTTTTTTTTATGAAATAGAAAAAAAAAAAAACGGAAATAACTAAATAAATAAAATATCTTCATTTATATGCCCTGCTTTTCACATGTAATGTCATTCAATTCTAAATTAAGATATAATTAACAAGAATACAAAAAATGTTTTACCTATTTTGATCATAATATTAAATGAATAATCTATATTCATCAACACCTTTGTTGAGGTGAAACTCAAAAAAATTCTCACAGCAGAACCAATTTTGATCACAATGATATAATTGGGGACAGAGTTTGAAAAATCGATCTATGGAGAAATTTTTATTGAGCCTAAATTCGTATTAAGACAAGCATACATGGTTTCCTTTATTTGCCATCCATAATAGGTTTATAAATTGTGTTTGTTAGGATAGTCCGATGTCCCTACTGGTTATATTAATATTAGCAATTGATTAGATCATCATGTTTTTTAACCTTATCGAGAATTTTCAATATGGAAAGTTATGAAATCGATAGATGATTGAATGAATGGATGAAGTTTTGTTTGACTTATGACTCTTTCATTGCATATGAAAAAAAAAACTACATAAATTCTTGTCACATAATATCCCTTACCGTTTTACATGATATGACCAAATAATAGAAGTAAAAGGAAAAAATTTCCGAGTTTTCGTATTACAATTTGTTTGATCCAGGGATAATTTCACTTACATAAAACACGTCCTAACCACCATTGTATTATATCGTGATTTATAATTAATCATTTTTTTTCTTTCGTATTCATAAGAGATTGATGCTGTCACGGAAATATATTAAAATGAATGGGAAGCAAAGCATGCTGACGCTACAATGTCAATTGGTTAACGCTAACGAACAAATCAAACGAATCAAATTTCACTTGATGATCTCGGTTTTTTATAAAAAAGGATTTTATGACGGTAACACTGACCCTGCACGAATCGGAAAAAGTATTGTTTCGCATTCTCGAATTTTCGGTCGGAATATTCATCAAATAAAAGTTGCGGGTGTGAAATATGTGAAATAAGAAGTGTGATCGAACCAATATGTAATGATGACATGCATGTAATTCAGCAATTTAGCGAGAAAGATAAATATATTTGAATGGGTACCTTGAGATAGTTCATGTTATTGAATATGTTGTAAAAGTGATCACTTTAATGGAAGAGATAATGTTTCTGAGAAATAACGATTCTTGTCAAGTGAAGCAGCACTTATTTACAATGGAATGCTGTGCGTTGGGATTAGTTAGGCAAATTTTAGCTAATGTGTTCATTCATTTTTTTTTTTCGTAAGATTCAAGGTTGGCCGGCACTATAAAGTTGATCCAAAGTTAACGCTCACTGACCGAAATTATAAGTTCGGCGCCATCAATACCTTGCTTACAAGAGCGTATTAAAAACATTATACGTTATATGTGACTTTGTATGTGATAAATTTTACTGCCCTAAGAAAAACGAAAAAGATTTTTTAAACCATTTAATCAATTTAACCATAAATAAAAAGGTTTTTTTATACTTCCAATATAAAATAGAATATTATCATTCACTTTTAAATTCAAATCAATATCCATTATTCATCAATCTTAATAATCAAATGTGATCCAATTCGTTTATAAAGTTTCTTTTCTGAAACATTTATTCAAGCATTACAATGCATCTTCATTTAGCAATTATATTTAGAATCATTTAGATATAATGGATCGTTCAACAAATAATGATTATGATATTTTTGCATACAAAATATATTTTATTAATTACATCATTCAAAAAAAAAAAATTAATATATAAAGACTGAAGATTAAGTCATACAAAATTTCTCATTCGAAAAAATTTTTTATATTAACAATATATACATTAATGAGGCCATCCACCAGATTTTGGCTGTACAAGCGCTAATTTCACCAAAATATCCATTTTATTTATTATCGAATGGTTTGAAAGTCAAAGAGTTATAAGGAATACTAATATTTATCAATTTTGAATCTGTTAAATCTAAATAAATAGAAAAGCATAAATAAATATTAAAATTCAATTAATATACGACAAATATTTTTTAATTTACCTTCAACTTGAAGTCCCGTAAAATTCGTAATATTTTTTCGTTGTCGAGAAACATCAAAAGTACAACTTGCTAGAGGGTGTAAACTTGTTGTTGCATCAACACTATTAGTATTATCAGCATTATTAAATTCCTGAACAGACTCTTTTTTATTATATTACTTAAATCTTTTGCGGAAGGTCTATTTTTTGGATTAGCATCGAGACATTTTTTAACTGTATCAACATAACTAACAATCCGGGGTTCCTTCAGCAATTATTGGTCGTAGTCCATTAATAATTGCTAATGCAAGTGAAAAATGATTTTTCTCATAAGAAATCATTCCAGTTGATATTTCTGTCATAATAATCCCGAAACTATAAACATCGCTTGAAGTAGTGTATGGTTTTTTATCTATTATTTCAGGGGCCATATAGGGAAGTACTCCACCTACATTTGAATTTGATTTATCGGTTGTAGACCAAAATCTGTAAGTTTCGATTTATTCTTAAAAATAAGCACATTCCCACTATGAATCCCCATGAACATAATTTAATTTGTGAATTTTCTCTAAATTTTTTGCAATGCCACGTAAAATTTTTAATTTCTTCCACTTTAAATTCGAATGATGAATTTTAATATAGTTTTTTAGGCTACCAATTTTCGCATATTCCAAAACTAACATAAATTCTTCCGTTACCGGATCTTTTGTTATCCCATAAAATTTTGTTAATGCATCGTGCTTTTGACATTCGTGATGTATTTTTATCTAAACAAACACAATTTTATTAATAGATTGAATTAAAGAAAATTAATGCAAGTTTGTATGTTTATTTACCTCATTAATATGAATATCTGTCATATTATTGGAATTTTTAATTTTTTTATGCGCAACTTTAATAGGTTTAGAACGACCTTTCTTCTTGTTTGAAACTTTTTGGTGATCCGTCCAACCAAGTAGCAGAATAAATTCTTGCAAAACCTCCTTCATCAATTTGTTTAACATCATTGAACCTATCAAAAGGAATCCACACCAAATTATGACGGTAATCTTTTGTCTTATGCTGTAATTTATTTATCAAACCATCCGTTTTGGAGTTTCCACTTTTCTTTCCTTCTTTTAGAAATCGACCTGGATCACATTTACGACACCACGCATAACCGGTACTTGGATATTTACAATGAGAACATATTCCGTATCGTTTAGGTCTCTTATCATATTGTACTCGGAAACTATTGCTTAGTACGGAGCACAAGTGTAATGAAAGAGACCAAGCACGTATCGACTCAAACGATGAGCGAGCGGACAGCGCGACATCTGTATCACTTTGCATATACATAGTCCTTCGCTTCACTCCGGACTAATAAATTTAATAAATTTGAATTTTTGGTTGCTTTATTTGTAACTTCATAATAAAAAAATGTTATAAAAAAATTGGAAATAAAAAAATTTTTAATCCAAATTTAACAATTTGTCGGTTTTATATGGTTCCGGAAGTCTATACTCGACAATCACGTGACTTTGTTTCAATTTTCGACGCAGATCACAAATCACGTGATTTAGAATTATCCAATAAGAATCCATAAAAATTGTGTAATAATTAGGAAAGGCAAATGGCATTAAAACACGAGCATATATAATTTTATAAGACAAAGCATATACATTATTTCAAAATTTTTTCTTTAACAATAGAACAATAAAATGATGTACAAAAGAATTTAAAAATATAATACTATAATAAAAGTATAGAAGCAGCTATATATTAATTATAATCGAACAATTAATTTTTATTATAATTTTATATTAATAACCCATTTATTCCATTATTCTTTCAATACTTTTTGGATATTTGATGATGCGATTTGTATTTACTGATAGCCCATTCTGCAGCTTTACCTTCTAACCCTTAGTTGTATACATCCATATATCTCTATGACTTACGTGTAAACTTGTAAATAGTTACTATAGGTACATTAATAAGAACTTCTAGAACCTGTTTTAGTAAGTCTATGAAACTATAATTGCATATTCTTCTGGTTTCTCACTTTGTATAACCCTAATATCATTCTATAAAATTACACTTACAATGAAATTTTAGATATCTTTCAAATATATGTTCTGCTTCTATAATTACTTCTTTCAATATTGACCATTATTCACAGAAATTAGATTGTTGTGATATGATTCATCATGTACAATAGTCTAATCTTTTTGGATTAAGATCATAATCCTTTTCAGAACACTACGTATACATTAAACAAATATTCTTTGATGACTAGAGATTACATTTCTTAAGTACTTACTTGATACCTTTTAGTTGCTCTTTCAGTAGATGATTATCTGAAAATGTACAATCTTCTCATTATTTCTATCAATATACCAACTATCATGCATTTTAGGCTATTTTTCTCTAGAATTCATATTCATTCTCATTGCAATAAATGCGTCAACTGCTATAGACTTATGATTTGTTGATTAATTGAAGTAAAAAACTCTGATACATCTAGGATGCAATACTTCAAAGATCAGAATTGCTTGATGAATAAGCTTTATTTATAAATAAAAAAAAAAGTTAGTAACTTTTTCCTTTAATATAGGTCAATAAATAGTAAGGAAAGCTTAAACCTGATTTAGCATAAGTTTCAATTTCTAATAACTATTCACTTATATAGATCACAGAATATAAGCTTTTTTATGTTTAATATGAGAATTTTCCTGCAGTTATTCATCAGATAATTACATTAATCCATGATATAAACAAATAAAAGCTAAAATCATAATAGAGTGTCTAAGATATTTTAAGTGTAAAATATTCTCATTCTTTCTTATCCAGATTTTCCGTTGCCTATCATTAGTATAAAAGTGACATTCATTATGTATCACTTATACTAATTCTTTCTCTCTTAACTTAAGCTGTAGTTCTAATATAATATCTAATATATTACCATTAAAATCTTTCATAAATTCCTTATACATAAACATCCTTTTTAACCATTTCTTCTTATATTTTACAATATCTGATCGTTCATGTCTATTGTAATAGATTTCTTTCTTTTTTTTATCATAGACGTATCTTCATAAATACATATAGTTTTGACAAGTTTTTTTAGAAATCATAGCCTTCTTAATGTGTTTGGTTAACTTTAAAAATAGTATTATTTCAATATATATTTTTAGGTTTTTGAGAGAATAGAACTCTAGTGTTTACTATTGTAACCAGGTTTGATATTTCTTCTTAAAATCTTCATCCTTTAATAAACTTTCTAATTTCACATATTTCCTTTGACAATATACAAGAAGCTCTCCTGTCTAAATAAAATGGGCTCCCTATTTCTGAATACATCTCGCTATATAATCGCCTTTATTTTTCATTATTTCTGCAATTTGAATGCTAACATCCATTTTACCTCACTCATCTAATAACAATTATATAAATCTATGTATACTTAGGTAATGTAAATAATTATAGGTAAAAATACTATTATTTATTTTTGCGAATTTTAATATTGAGTATTTTTGATTTATTTCTTCTAAACGAGCTTATAGATTTATGTAATATCGACGAAAGATAAAGAAGAGCTTTATATAGTTTCTGAAGGTTAAGGTGAAGGTATTAAAGGATTCTGAGAATGGTTGTAATAGCTGTAATGATCATAATAATTCAAAGTTTTAGTACTTCCAAAAAATCTCTTGAGCATTTTCATTCTCTTTGCATCATTTTCTAAACTTTTTTTTTCTTTTTTCTGTCTCCAAGCTGTGCTTCTTGAAATTCTAGTATATATTACTCTAATTCCTTTATTAGCATTCTTATACCAACAAAGAATCTCAGTAATAAGCCTTTTTCCCACTTTCTCAAATTTTATCAAATCCTCTTTCGTCTAATTTTCTTTCGCTCAATTTTTGTCTTCTATTCTGATTTTGTTTTCCATCCAAATATCTTTACCTATTATTTCATAATTTTTGCTTTCTATTTCAACAGCTTTACCTTTCATCCTAATAGTTTTAACAACTCTGCCTATTATAGCTTTATCATTTTCAATAGTTACTTCTGGTTTAATAACTTCTTTTGCTAGCTCTTGAGATATAAAACAATATTTTTTTCTAGGTACCTTACTTACCTACTTAGAGTTTGAGTCAAAGTTGAATCAAGAAATTTTTGACTTAAAGAGTACTCAAATTGGAAATTCAAGTCAAAAACTCAAGTCAAACTCGAGTTAAAGTCATAATGTGAGCCAGAAAAGTACAATGCGGGCTAAAATTTTGTGATATTTTTGGAGTTGAACTAAAGAAAATTTTTTTAAAAAATCTTTATTCAATAATTATATAATAAATGTTAATTATATTATGCTAATAAATGCAGTTTAAGAAAAGAATTACATGTTATTTATAAAATATAGCATAAATTTGAAGTTAACTCAAGTAGTTTTAATTTGAGTCAACTCGAATTCTGACTCAAATCAAGAAAATCTTGACTCAAATTAGAATTTAACTTAAGTTGATTTGAATTAAATAAATATGAGTCCAGTCTCTATACCTACTGTTATCTTTTTATTTTACATAACATGTTAAAAGTATCAGTTAGTTTAACTAAAATTAAAAATCAAAATCAAGATTTTAAAGATTTGAGTTTAATTAATTGTGATAATTTGGCTAGCATTATAATATTAATAGTATCAGCCTGAATTACCATAAGTTTTGATCAATCAAATTTATTTCAAGTGATCAGATTTGTTTCAAATTTTTGACTAATCATATAAAAATTATGTGATTTCAAACGCTTATAACTTTTTATCTAGAACTTATTTTAAAAATCTAACTGTAATTTAATAGAACTTATCATAAAAAACAAAGTTACCAGTTTATTTATTTTAAATTTTATTTTTTTAAAATTTTGAAAGATTTTTAAGTGTTACAATTTTATTATTGAGTATAGACTTCCAGCACTATATTAAAATTATATTAAGTACACATTATTTTATTTTAAATGTACAGTCACTCTTGTTATAACGAACTTTATGTCCTAGACCTCAACTTCACTATAAGGTTATAGTAAAGATTTTAAGAGATTTGATTGGCCAATTCGTTATAATAAGAGTATTTTATTATATTTATTTAAAAAATTCATTATATCAAGAGTTCACTATAACAAGAGTTGACTGTAGATTCAAATAATCACCTATAGAAATGGCATTATCTTATGTGATAAATAGCTTTGAATGAAAAATGAAAAAAAATATTGAGTAATATTACATAAAATGCTTCGTTGAAAATTAAACCATTTATCCTTATTATATAAATCTTTTTAGATCCATTTTTTTCTTTTAACCTTGCGTTCAATAAATATTTTACAAAAAGAACTAAAGAATTGATAAAAACGAATAAAATTGATTAGACTGCAAACTTTATTATCTGATATAGAGCTATTAAGTATACGAGTCTTTACAAAAGAATTAAAATAGAAAACTAACATAAGAAATACATAATTTACAGTATTATTGTTCAAAAATGCTTTTATTCTTTATTTTAAATTCTTAATATTTTTATTGTATTATCTATATATTATTTATTATATATCATAATTAAAGGATTGATTTTGAAACTCTGGCTAAACAACCATATTTTAATTAATAAAAAAACTATTGTATTAAATTATATATTTTTATTTGATTATATATAAAAATCTAAATTTTGAAATTTTGAAAAAAAATAATTTTACAATAATACTGTATTATTAATAATAACTTAAGGAATAAGTAAAATCAAAACATAAAAAAATATATTTTATATAAAGAAAAATGTAATGCTAAGCAAAAATTAATATTTGGTTAAATAAAAACTTTCTAGTGAGCCAAAAATAGTTATAACTTATATTAAATATTAACCGGTCAGTCATTGTTTAAAAATTGCTAATCAAAATATGTATCATAATAAGTATCATTTTTGATGCAAAAATTTTTGAATTGTTTTTCAAAAATATACTGATTGTTAAAAAATTTTACTTAATTTGCAAATTCAGCAAGAAGAAAATACAGAAATACTAGTATTAATCAATTGCAAATTTCTGAGTATAAATCAATAAAAGAAAATTAAATATCTTTCAATTATAGTATTAAGTAATATATCAAGTAATGCTTTTATTATAAGACAGAGAGTATTCACTGATTCATACTAAGAAAGCCATTGAATATCAAAAATTTTTGAATTTTTAAAGTAGACTT